TCTATCTATCTATCTATCTATCTATCTATCTATCTATCTATCTATCAATCATCCATCTCTCTCTCTCTAATCTCCCTATCTAATGTATCTACCTAATCTATGTATCAATCAGGGAAGGGTCACAGTCCCGGGACAGTCCCAAAACACACGGAGCTGCTGCTGCTGGAGCACTGTCCCACTCTGCCCTGCCCCGTTTCTCACCCCAGCAGCGGGTCCTGGCCGTGCAGCCCTGCAGGGCTTCCTGCCTCTGCTCTGGTGTCAGCCCAGGCGACTCTGGCCACAGGCAATTTTGCACCACCATCACCCACCAAAGGCAGCAACAGCTACGAGGAAGTTGGGGCTGTGAACCACAAACTGTTCCACCTCCAGCCCCAGCATGAGTGCGTGCCCTGCCCCGTAGCCTGGTGCCCCTGCACCTCACAAGATGTTTTTGGGGGGTCACTGGCTATGCACATCTTCCTACATCAGTTRTCCTTCAGCACAGCCCTGGAACTGCTGCAGAGCCCTCTGGCTCACCAGAGCCCCTGATCTGCTCCTCCCAGCACAGCCCAGTGAGGGGGCACCACCAACACCTCTGCAGGACAAAATGCCACAGAAGAGGCAATACCTTGATGAAGTTGGCGTTGATGTAATGAGAATCTGTGTCAGATGTAATCAGGGACAGCTCCACTCTGCTGTGGTCAACTGCAAAAGCAGAAGGAGCAGCAGTCAGTGTTGGTCTTTCATGGTCACCGGGTCCCTGGAGGGCAGCACGAGGTGCTTTGGGGGAGCACTCACATCAGAGAGCTCATCCAAGGTGGGTTTGTGGCTGTGCAAGCAGCTGATGTCCCTCCCACACCTCCCTCAGCCCTGCTCAGAATGGACAAGATCCTTTTGGGGACAGGGGGAGACTTTAGGGGAGAACTGCAGGTGCTGCCACCACCCCAGTGCTGATCCCCTCTGACCATGCAGCAAGCCAAGCCCCAAATCACCMAAACTCACTCCAGGCTCTAATGTGGTCTGTGGGGTTTGTTATAAGGGTTTGACAGTTGGACTCGATCTTGAAGGTCTTTTCCAACCTTGATGATTCTGGGATTTTTTATTTTTTTCCCCAAGTTAGAATGGATGAAAGAGACAGTCTGCTCTGGTCCTGGGACAGACTGGCCTTTGGAGACCACTGCACCAAGCCAGGAGAAGCCACAGCAGGTGGAGGCATCATGGAGACATTGTTGTCCAAGAGATGCAAGTGGTGGCAAAGCTACCCAGAAAGCCTGCAAGGATAATCCCTGGAGGATGTATTTCCYAGTGAATAGAAGCTCTTCTGTCTGTGAAAAATATCACAGAATCACAGAATACCCTGAGTTGAAGGGACCCACAAAAATAATCGAGTCCATCTCCCATCCCTGCACAGACACCTCCAAAATCCCTCCCTGTGCCTGAGAGTGGTGATGTGTGCCAAAGCCWTCCAGAGCTAAAGCCCTAAATCTGAACAGCAGCACTCCAGGCCAACACACAGCAGTGAGGTGCTCACATACAACARCTGAGCAGGCGGGCACCCGAGGATGAGAACGAGAAAAGCAAGAAAAACAAAAGGCTGAGCATCAACATGTGCCATTTCCAACCTACAGGGTAAGATGTCCTTGTATCTGTTCTTCTTGACATTCTCTGGCTGCTCAGAYGCTGCTGTAGGGTAGATTTTATCCGACTTGTACTTTGTTGACTGTTTCTTCAGCTTCTGTGATAAAAGAGTGGAACAAATTACAGCAGACGTGCTGCAGCCAGCACGCTATGAGAGAGCACACCAAGGTCTCGGGGGGTCACGTTTGCTACCACAAAGCGAGGTCAGCACCATTAATTCTTTCCTGAGCAGCTTTTCTCAGAGCAAGAACAGAGACAGAAGCACCTGAGAGCCCCAGCAGAGGCTTGTGAAGAGTGGAAAGTGTGTGCTGAGGCAGTGCCCACACGTCGGCTGGTGAAGTGACACAAAGTGAGCAAGGCCCAGGGGAGTCACTCTCGGCACAAATGGCACCCAGATCAGAGGAGTGACAATATGAAAGCACCTTGAACAAAGGATAGCAGAACAGACARGTAAATCCATTGATTTTTCTCACTTTGGTGGTGATGCTCCCGTCCATAGCTGAAAGCTCAAGTCACWAAGGGAGCACAAGCACCTGGAGCAGAGTAGCTCCATGGCCTGATGAAAGAGAAGGGAAAAAAGCCCTGGGACAGTCCCTTAGGGCTGCAGATCTCTCATCTCTTTCATTTTCAGGATCAAGCTGCAGCACTCACAGAGAATTAAAACATCTTTCTCCTGGCAAAGCATAGAATTTTATTTCTCTGCCACSAGCTTCTAAATAAMACWCASTATTTGTTACCATCAGCTTYRSAAGCACCGTCCTTGCTGYATTTTTCCTTTCATATTTTTGTGTYYATGTTGTTGKTTTCTAATATTGAACTGCAGTTTTAAAACACTGAATTTAGCGATAATACCCCAGGAGTTTAATTCTAATAGAGATCTGATAGAATGAGTCAGGGAGGAGGTACAGGAGGCTCAGGACAGTCCATTTGTCCAGCCTCTATTAATTTAGAATGTGGGGTAGACACAGTGGGATAGAAATTGTGGGAGCAGGGTGGGTTTTGTAGCCTCATCATCCCTGTAAACTTCTGAGCAGTTCTGGTGTTGTTCACGTCCTCCCCTGCCTCCTTCCAGTGCACCCCCAGCTTCCAGGGAAAGCTTTCATGGAAGGGGCATCACTCCATGCTAAAGGCAGTGTTCCCAGTGCCAAGGCCCCAGATCAGCTGACTTTTGTGTGTCTTTATAATCTGACATGGAACTGGGAAATGCCTACAAATGAGAAAGCAAGTGGGAATCACAGAACTGTGGAATATCCTCAGCTGGAAGGGACYCACAAARATCATKGATYCCAACAYCTGGCCCTGTCCAGGACACCCCAAAATCCCACTCTGTGCATCCCTGAGAGAGTTGTCCAAATGCTCCTGGAGCTCTGGCAGCCTCGGGGCAGTGCCCAWTCCYTGGGGARCCTGGGCAGTSAGACTGYACAGATAGAAAAAGGGGACTCTGACAGAGCCCCTGTCATTTGCAGTAACATCAATGTAATTTGCACAAACAAATGCTTGGTCCCACAAGGAGAGGGCAGGAATTAGGATGGGGAAATGTCATTGAATCTTTCTATCAAGTCTGGAAACACAAACCAACACCATTGCCTGATGAGGCTTCTGCCTTGCAAAAGTGGCTGCAAATCAGGTCACTCKGAGAAAATCTTAYCCYGTTCAAGAGGAAATGCAGCCTTGASCATTTCCACCTGCCATTTTKGTCAGRAWTTGATAYATTGGGCTGCTGGARCCAGCCTGAGYGCCAAGGCTYAGAGCCYGCTGCCTCACATGCACAGACACCCCTGCAGAGAGGGGAAACTCAGCAGCCTGTGACAGCWCTTTGTTCCATGGAACAACAGACTGTCACTGCAGGCTCAGATTAATCACTTCCCTCCACCCCAGACACCTGGAAAGCAAGCACTCAGCTTTCCCCAAGTGTTTGAAGTGCCAGGTTTAGCAGAGCAGGGCTGGAGTTTGTGGGGTAACCTGGAGCTCAGTGCCAGGGGTCAGTCTGGTGTTTGACACAGCTCAGATCTCACAGAGGTGCCAGTTTTACCCTTCCCAACATCTGTTAAAGCTGGGCAATGTCACTGCCTCTCAGAGCAGCCCAGGCAGCCTGTCAGAGCCTCCTGCCTCCAGTTGATACACCCAGAGCCACCCAGAGCCACCCAGAGCTGCCAGCCTCAGCTGGGAGATGGTGTGTTGGCATCTGAGCCTCACCCCTGGCACCCAAACCAAAAAACATATCAGAGCCCTCAAATTCAGGGCAAATATATCACAGAACTCACAAATTCAGGGCAGTGCARAACACAGGGGATGGTGGGAGCCATCAACACTTTTTGTAGCTTTTGCCTTGAGGGAACAAGAAAGTTTCCAGCAGGGGCCAGGAGCACTCCTGGCTGTAGAGAAYAGAGATCCCAGATCCCAAAATGGTTTGGGTGGGAAGGAACATTAAAGCTCATCTCATTCTGTCCCCTGCCATGACAGGGACACCTTTCACTGTCCCAGGGTGCTCCAAAGCCCTGTCCAACCTGGCCTTGGACACTTCCAGGGATGGGGCAGCCACAGCTTCTCTGTGCTCCATGGAAAGAAGGACAAGCTAAGGCAAAGAGCAGACAGAGATCCCTGGCAGAAACCCATGTGCCACAGATCTAATATGCAATGGGGAGAAGGGACAGAGACCCCATATTCCTCCCTGTGCCCCAGTTGTGTTACCAGGGCCAGAGGCTCCATATTCCTCCCTGTCCCCCCAGTTCTGTTACCGGGCAAAGTGAAACCATGTCCCGGCAAGTGCATTCGCCAAGCAGAAAACAGGAAGCACTCGGGCAATTAGTTAAAAAGCAAACAGTTCAAATGCAAATTATTAAACTCCTTGTGTGTCTTTACATTGTTCTTAGCCACCACTCCTAGGTGGCTGCTATAAAACTCCTAGAAAATCTTACTGTCACACATTTGAGAAATGACAAAGCGGTTCTGTCCGAAACGAGCTGAAAATCTGAGCTGAGCCTTGGGTGAACTCACCAAAAACTCTGCTGCAAACTCTCCTCGGTTGAGCTTCTTGCCTTGGATCCTTTCCAGGTTCTGGAGCAGGATCTCCCTTTGGTCCATGGTGCCGGAGGTTGCCTGGGCTGGCCCTCCTGGGAAGGGACATGTCAAGTGATCGGCAGCGGAAGGCACCGCCGCCGAGCGCTGCCTGTGGTTTTCTGACTTCATCATGGCCCGAAAGGAAATTAGTGCGTAACAGATGATCCTGGTCAAACAACACAACAAAACACACGGCACGGCGCCCTCGCTTCAAACCACCCCCACATGGCATGGGGTGGGCACCGAGGACAGGGGTGGGCACACACTGGACACTGGTCCGAGCTCCCCACCACCCCAACTCCTTCAGCACCCCTGCCAGGGGCAAGCACAGGGTGCAATTCTGGATCATCCATATCCCGAGGGGCTGTGCTTCACCASGAAGGCTTCAAACCTGGAATGTGACGGGACAAGTTCATGAAACAGTGTGGAAAATCCACATCTCCCCTTAGTGCTTTTAACAYAAATCCCAGAATGGGATTGGAAGGGACCCTCAATGAGCAGGGACACYTTCCACTAGCCCAGCTTGCTCCAAACCCCATCAAACCTCACCTTGGACACTTCCAGGAATGGAAGTTTTAGCCTGTTTTCCACATCAGCTGTAAAATATTTTGAAGGAATCCTTCAGGCAGATGCTGACAGCCAAACAATTGTTATTGCCCTGCTCTGCATGACTTCTGAACGGAGAAAAACCATCCATGTGCTTCAGGTCAGCTCCTCCAGCCACCACTCCCCACAGCTGGTGGGTTTTGCAGAAGAGATGATCAAATSTGACTCCAGCAGACTACAGAGGTGAAATTAATGATGCCAGCCTGATTCACCTCTCTCACTCTGCAACACTTGAAAAACCCCATAGGCAAAGGAGAGGCCATTCCCAGGTGGGAAGAGGCAGGGAGCACAGTTCTGGGAAGCCACCCATCTTCTCTATGTGCAAAAGTGGGGAAAGCTAAAAAAAAACCACTAAAAACAACAATTCTCAACCAAAGAAACCCCAAAAAGACACATGAATCACATCTTCCATATTTCCAATACCTCATGTGCTGCACAAAGGTTTCAGACTCATTGTACCACGTCTGATTGTGTCTCTGGCTGTAATTAAAGCCATTCAATGTGTCCCCTTCTGTGTTTTCTCGTAGGTGGGGTGCAGAACAGCTCCAGGATTTCTGTATTCAGGAGCTAAAAGGCAAAGGGCTGCTAATCACTCTTAGATTAAAAACATCAAATGCGAGTTTTGCAGAAATAAGCCTTTGAATCGCTTGAGAGGAACTCAAGAATAACTAATGGAAATGTTTTAAAACCAACATTCACCTGCTGAGTCTGCAGCACCAAGCACTAACCTGAGACCTTGAGTAGGAGTGAAGCTCACTTTTATGACTGTATTTAAGAGAAACACAGGAAGAAAAACAATTGATAACAACAAAATTTATTATTTTTGGCTTGTTTAGATAGAGAATCTCCTTTACACATTGCTTAGTGCCATGTTCTGCTTGCAGCATCTGGGAGAAGCACAGCAGCATTTCGGTAGTTACAGCAGAGAAAAGTCCAATTCTCCTCTGAAAAGTGGCACAGCCTTTTCTCTCAGCTGCCCAAGTTTTCCTGAAAACAAACCAAACAATGTTTGAGAGAATCCAAGGCAGATTTAAAGGGGCTGGCAGAAAGAGAAGGATGCAGAGGGCAGGATGAGTTACCCACCATTCACTTCACCCTCTCCCAGCCTGATTTAATCCCTTCCCCATGGAGAACACCCCAGTGGGGTCTGTAAAACTGCCTTTTTATGGCCCATCACTCATTATCTTGATTCTCACTGAAGGGGCAAGCTAAGGAATTAAACCCTGAGACAGAGAAGCTGAAGCGAAGTTTGGTGCTGGCTCCAGCAAGACTTAGCTTAGAAAAGCAGATCTTCCCCAATCCACAGCAGTGATCAGATCCCTCCATCCACAGTCCTGAGGGTGGAAGGAACAAGAAACTCCAGAAATCAGCCAAGAATGATTCACATTTTTATTAGGAAAAGCAGAAGGCAAGTCTGTTTAACAGTGACAGGTTTCAATGAAGTGCATGGAAGGCTCACTGCCATCTGAAGACAAAATCAAGTCACTCAAAGAAATTAAAAATTACAAGAAATCTGACAGAATTAGGGTTGAAGAAGCTTGTGCTCCTCAGAGAGTACCCTAAAGCCCTGTTAAGTCCATCTCCCTGTGTACCTCACCCTCAATGAGGGGCCTGGCAACAGCACAGGGAGATGCGGGGACTGCAGAGAGCGCAATTCCTGACCTCAGTAACACATTTCAACTACAAACCCTGTGTCTGTCTCCTGGAAGTGCAACATGCAGGTTCTGGTGAGCAGGATGCATCCAACCCATCCTCCTCTGGCACAGCAGAGCTCTGCTCACCRCTGTCTGAAATCAGACAGCAAATTAAATCAAGTGTGAAGGGAGTCAAGAATGAAATATTCTCTCTTCACTGCACTGTTCCTCTTAATGTGAGATAAGTAGCAGAGTCCTGGTGCCTCTGACATTTTTTTAAAAATAATTTGTAATTGTCAGCTCTCCAGAACACACCCCTGAATCCTGCTCARTTCTGGTTCCATCAGGGACATTCGTGCCTTGTGCCAACCACCCYTGATGTCCCCAGCTCTGTGACCACACCAGAGTGACCCTGTCCTTCCCCCAGCCCAGGGGAGGGGAGGGCAGACCCTTCACCCTGCCCCGTGCCCCAGCCCCAGCTGCAGCCTCCCCCACACCACCCAGGGAAGGGCTGCCAACACTCTGCAGGTTAAAAGCACCAAACCTGCACTGGGTATGGCAAATGAAACCAGAGAAATCAACTTTTCCTGTGTGCTGAGCACACATCCTGCTGGGAACAGGGACCAGTCAAGACTCCAGCCCAGCCACTGCCTCCAGCACYGTCCTCAAGGCTGAGATGAAGGCTTGCAGTGCCTCTGGCTTTGCTTCTTTTTGCTTCACCGACACCTGCAGCTCTGAATCTGCTGCCTCAAGCAGGAGCTCTGTGAGGAACAGGCAGCCTGACTCATCCTGGGCACTCAGATAAGCTTTCCAGGGCTGGGCTCCAGCTTTGCTCATGGCAATGGTCTGGATGTGGACAACACGAAGGGCTGTCTGGATGGTGTCAGGGTGGGCAGGTCCACACCAGGGCAGGGAGAGCTGGCAGCTCGTGCCGAGGCTCAGCCAGGTCTTCTCAAACTGCTCTGCAGTCAGGGAAACATCAGGAATCAAGCTCAGGCTGCCTGCATCAGGATGAGCCTTGAGGACTTCTTTATTCTCTTCAGACACCAGAGGATCAGGATGAACCTCGAGGACCTCCTTATTCCCTTCAGAAACCAACGACTCTGAAATGAAGACACAAAGTGTGAGAGGCAGTTTCACGCTGCACAGAGCCCATTTGAGGGAGCAGAGGAAGCTGGAATCCCAATGCCATCAGCAGCATCAAAAGTGCGAGAGGCAGCTCCCATCTCCACAATTCCCATTTGAGGACACAGAGGAAGGGCTGGAATCCCAGTGCCATCAGCAGCATGACAGAGAGCTGTGAGAGGCAGCTTCCAGCTCCACAATGCCCATTTGAGGATGCAGAGGAAAGGCTGGAATCCCAGTGCCATCAGCAGCATGACAGAAAGGTGTGAGAGGCAGCTCCCAGCTCCATAAGGCCCATTTGAGGGAGCAGAGGAAGGGCTGGAATCCCAGTGCCATCAGCAGCATGTGAGAGGCAGCTTCCAGCTCCACAATGCCCATTTGAGGGAGCAGAGGAAGGGCTGGAATCCCAGTGCCATCAGCAGCAACCCTGGGCTAGGGAGTGACCAGCCACACTCGGCACAAGGCAGGCAGAACACCAAGTCMAAGTTCCCAAAGCACTGTCACCTTCTTCCAAACAAACTCATGTGAGAAAATCTTGGCTGCCCCATCCCTGGGAGTGTCCAAGGGCAGRATGGACRGGGCTTGGARCACCCTGGGACAGTGGAAGTGTCCCTGGCCATGGCAGGGGTGGGAATGAGCTTTAAGCTCCTTCTCACCCAAACCATTCTGGGATTGTGAGATCCTTACAMGGGGAGGATGGATCCCAGAGGAAGAAGAGGTTACCTGTGTCTCTGATCCCAGAGCCAGGGCAAGGAGCACAGGAGTGGGAGGGTTCCTGCTGAGTGGCCAGTGCCCAGCGCTCTCGGCCGTACACCGTGGCCAGGCTGTTGAAGTCCCAAGCCCAGGCRTTGACTGGCTGCTTGGCCTGGGCCCCCAGGAGCCCCAGGGAGGGGTCACACTTGGGGCTGCACAGGACCCGCTGCACCTCCTCCACCCCGGACTGCAGCAGGCGATAGTAGAACAGCCCTCGGTCTCGAACTGCCATGTCCATCTCCTCCTCTGGCAATCAGAGAGATGCAATTTAGGGAGAAGTCTATCAATTAACGCTTAATTATTAAGATTATTAAAAACAGATTTTCAGGGATACAGTGCAAGCCTGTTTACAGACAGACAGTGACAGGACAAGGGGAAATGGCCTCCCACAGCCAGAGGGCCGGGCTAGATGGGATAGTGGGGAGAAATTCTTTACTCAGAGGGCGGGGAGGCCCTGGCACAGGGTGCCCAGAGCAGCTGGGAGTGTCCAAGGCCAGGCTGGAGGCTGGCTCCAGGACTTGAAGCAGCCTGGGATAGTGGGAAGTGTTCACCTGGATGAGATTTAAGGTCCCTTAAGGTGGGACTGGATGAGATTTAAGGTCCTTTTCAACCCAAACCATTGTGTGATTCCATGACTCTGTAGAGACATGAGAGCCAGGGGCCAGGCAAGTGAAGCCACCTCACCCCACCACCAGGAATCAGTGACAGGACACTGACACAGCCAGCCCAGGTCCCACAGAGCCTGTGAGGAYCAAGGAACCCCCACCTATGCAGTAGTAGAGCAGCCTGCCCAGCATGTCCTGGCACTCRGCCGGCCGGGCCAGGAAGAGCCGCAGCAGCGCCGTCAGCAGCTCCATCTTCACTGCTGGGAACGTCTCCGACTTCACACTCTCCACAAACTCCTCCAAGACATAGGGAGCGTTGGGGATCTTCTCCCCATGGGTGCCCAGGAGCCAGATCAGTGCTTGTTTGCCCTGAAGGAACCACAGGAACACCAGCTAATAGCACTGTGTGCCAAGTGCTGGCATGAAATAAACACTGAGAGAACAAAGTTGAGAATTTCTGATTTTTGCCCCCAAACTCGAGGCAAAGGAAAGCTGGGCAGTCCTTGTCCACCCACCCCCAACCACTGCCCTCTCACCTCGCTGTCCTGGATGGTGTCCTCACAGCCTGGCAGCGCCTGGCACACGGCGTCCGTGCACTGGGGACACAGCCAGGCCAGGTCCCGGAAAGCACGGACCACAGCTGCAAGGGAAACAAGTTAYCAGCATCCCCCAAGAGTCATAAAAACCACTATGGGGAAAAAAATCCACATTTCAAACGCTTCCACTCAAGGGACTTGGCAAATCTCGGCCAGCAAGGTCAGTGCTCTGCCTGTGACTGTGATTTGAGGCACCCTCCTTTCCAATCCCGTGACATTGCATTTGTCAGAGCAAAGCTGCGCCAGGTCAAAAATAAAGCACTGAGACTTCAGATTGTTCCTCAAGCAAGCTCTCTGCTGGCCACTGCCAGCCTTTAAAAAGCCTCTGACTCATGATGCTTCAGACACACGAGGTTAGAATGACAAATTAAAGCTGACCCCGATTCCAAACGAGCCCTGCAAACTTTAGGTCAAAATTTGAAAGGTTTTGCTGCCCACTCAGAAACACCAACAGCTCCTGAGATGGAATTCAACAGCTGACTGCTAGTGTGTGGTTTTCAAATCTGAGTGCAAGATCAGTTAAAAGAGAACAGCAGGAACAGTGGCAGTGTGAAGGTGGATGTGAGGGCAGAAAAGAAAAAAGGAAGCCTGGGTACAATTGAATCAGGCTGTTATATGAGGAACAGAAATCACAGGGATTTAAAGGATCTATTAATCATCTTGGGCCTCAGACAGACAGTGAAATGTGTCTGCTGAGTCCCTCACTTTCTGAGTCAGCAGGTGGCAGCCAGAAAAACCCAYGAACACAGCTCCAACCATCTCCCCCTTCCCCACAAAGAGCAGCTCYRACAGAAGGAACGCACTTTGTACCCWCAACTTCCACCTGAAGGTGCCAATTAAACTGAGAGCCAAGTGCCTTTGAGGGTCTGGAGTGGGGATCACGAGCCCCAGGCTCTGCAGTGGTTACCTGAAGTGATGTGCTCCTGCTGCAGCCCCAGCAGCTCTGTCAGGATCCCCACGCACTGCTCGGTGTAAGTCCTGGCAATATTGGCTGCAAGGATGCCAAAAAGACATAAAAGTCAAGGTTTTATCAGAGTGAAACGGGAACCATGAGCCCAACCACTGATCACAAACTGCCTTTAAASAGACAGCCTTTCTCTTTTCCTTTCTGACTACCATTTTTAAAAGTGTGGCTTGAAAGCTTGTTCTCCACACCAGGGGCACGTTCCTTTTTTGAGGCCGTRCCTCAGATGATTTCTGAACTTTCCTTAAATGTGATACATTAAAAAAAGCATTTTATCATCCCCAGCTTTCTCTTTATGAATGCTGTAATAACTCACCAAATTTTAAAGCTTAAAAATACAAAATTAAGGCAACCCAAATCACCTCAATTCTGCCCCCATCACAACTCAAAGAACAAGCAGGTATTAGAATTCCTCCACCCCCTGCACAGTTTCACTGAACACTATCAGGCTCATAAATAAGATGAAATGACACATTTTCTTTASAGCATCTCATCAGAGCACGAGATTCAGTGACTTTCTGCACACAACCAGAAACAGCTCAGTGCCAGGACTCCAAAAGAATCAGTGGTTCACAAACCTCTGACACAGAACACTGCTGGGGAGGGTGCTCCCCGTGCTGCTGCAGCACACAGCAGTGATTTGGAGCTTGCCCAGACACATTTCAGCACAGAACAGCCCCCCTGCCAGKTCCAGGGCTGCAGCAGAGCCCAGAAAAGCTCTCACCGATGGCAAAGATCGCTGCCTGCGCCAGCTCCACCGACACATCGGTGCAGTAACCCTTGAGCTCCTCCAGCACCTGCTGCACGTTCTCATCGTTCACCAGCTCACACAGCACCTCCATCTTCTGGCATTTGATGTAGTGAGGCTCCGAATAGGAGCAGAAGAACTTCTTGTAGTGGCTGCTGAAGTGGCCGGGCAGGCTCCTGAGGATCTGGCGCACGTGGCAGAGCGCGGTGAAGCAGAGCTCCCTGCTCTCCGAGGTGCAGGCRGACAGCAGCGGGCCCTTGACCCGCACCAGAACATCTGCCTGCACATCTGGGTACTCCCTGGCCAGCACCAGGAACAGCTTGGTGGCCGCCATCACCACGCTGGGGCTGCTGCTTTTGAGGTAGCCGTCGAGCAGGTTGAGGATGTCGAAGAGCTCGTCCTCGCTGCGGGGTTTGTAGCGCAGCAGGAAGGTGAGAACCTCGCTCTGCCCCCACTGGTCCAGGTCAGGCATCCTGCCAGGAGCACAAGCACAGGGGGCACGAGTCAGGGAGGGCAGGAGCACCTGTGCTGTGCAGGGCAGAGGCCTCAGACTCCGAGTTCCTTAGGCTGTCTGTTCCAAACCAAGTGGATGCCACAGTTTTGCCTTAAAGGAATTTCCCAGTTTTTAACTCAGTATCAATCACTTCTGCTGGTGCTCAGGCCAGACAGCARCACTGAAGCAATCCTAGGCAGAGCAACACCCCTCTTTTCCCAAACTATGTAGAATTATCTGCAGAAAAGCTGATTTCTTCAAGCAGTGGTTAAGTTATAGATCTTTCAATGGATCTGGAGAGACACACTAGAACATACCTGTCCCACAAATGTATCATGTGTATTAGCAATAAAAAAATCCCAAAAGTCTAATCGTGTTAAATTAAAATTACAAAACAAACCACCAGCTGAGGCAAGGGCTCCCTGGAAGAGCAGGGCATCCTAGATTTCTCTGAAGAACTTAGCCTAAAGTGATTTAGTTTATCTTAGGATGGGCACCTCCATCTTTGGGTGCCTGACAAGAGCTCCTTAGGTCACCCCAGAAACTGCCTCGCTGCACAGAAAAGACAAGAGAACCTTCCAGCACCATCTTGATAACAAACAAAACAAACCTGTTGAGGAGATGATGGGCAATGGGTTTGTTRATGACAACTCCTCCCTCCTTCTTCAGGATCTCTTCCAAGGCCCTCAGACAGTTCACAACCACGATGGGATCCTGATCACGGAGCAAACTGTAGAGCTCRTTCACCAGAGCACCATCTGCAATGAACAGAGGCACTGTCATCCAGTGTGATCTGTCAGCACACTGCAACTCAATCACTGCATTTGAGCATTTATCACAAACAAAAGATGTGGCTTGRACTGGGAAAAGGAATCAACAAAACTTCCAGCTCTACGGGAACACCCGCCCTTGGCACAGCTTTTTGGGGTCTGTGGGGGTCAGAGTGGCCTCTGGCTGATCAGAGACTGGGGATGGCCCTGTGCTCTGGGAGGTGCTGGAAGAGCAGGGAGGGATGGGAGATGGAATAAAATCATTGAATCATTGAATCACAGAATGTTAAGTGTTGGAATGGACCTTAAGGCCCATCCAGTGCCACCCCTGCCATGGGCAGGGACATCTTCCACTGTACCAGGGTGCTCCAAGACCTGTCCAAGCTGGTCTTGGACACTTCTAGAGATCCAGGGACAGCCACAGCTTCTCTGGGCACCCTATGCCAGGGCTTCCCCACCCTCACAGGGAAGAATTTCTTCCTAATATCCTAAATCTGCTCTCTTTCATCTTGAAGTAGCTCCCCCTTGTCCTGTCACCCCATGCCCTTCTCCCAAGTCCCTCCCCAGCTCTCTTGTAGGCTCCCTTCAGGTACTGAGAGGCCACAATAAAGTCTCCCCGAAGCCTTCTTTTCTGCAKGCTTCATTCATTCCCTTTCTTGCCGTGCAGCCACAACAACCCAGGGGCAGCACAGGGAACCCAGGACAGCCCTAAAGMCGGAACGCACATCACGAACACAGCACCGGCGTGTCCCCAGCGCCACGGCCACCACCCCCGGCCCCATGGCCACCACCCCCAGCCCCATGGCCACCAGCCACACCAGCCACTCACCCACTTCGCAGTCCCCCTGCAGCTTCACCATCTTGGCGCAGCCCAGCACGGCCGCCCTGCGCACGTAGGACGCCTTGTCCCGCAGCCCGCTCACGATGGGCTGCTGCAGGTACTCCTGGATGCCGGGCATCCTGCGGGAGGGCGGCCGGGCATTAGCAGGGTCCCGCAGCCCGGGGTCCCCCCCGCTCCGCCCCGGGCCCCGGCGCACCTGAGGCCGCACATGGTGCGCAGGGCGAGCCCCCGCACGGCCGGGCTGGGGTGCGCGCAGTCCTTGCGCAGGGAGTTGACGGCGAGCAGCGCCAGCTGCGGCTGCCGCGGGGCCTGGGCGCGCACGTAGAACGACACGAGCTTCTTCTGCACCACGTCCGACACGGCGCCCGCCTTCACCATCTCCGGGAACAGCCCCGACACGTCGGCGCCCTGCGCCATCAGCCTGCGGCGGGCACCCGGCTCAGCGCGGCGCGG